TCATATTAATAATTAGAGTAATTTTATTTTTTATATATTTGTTAGTTTTTAATAAAAAAATTACTTATAAAGTAAGTAAAAATTATATATTTTTAATTTAATTAATAAAATAATAATAAAATATTTATAAATAATAATTAAATTTAAATAATAAATACTTACAAGGTGATACCCGAACTTAATACAAATAATAAAATTATTATCTAAATTTATTTTACATCAAATTATAAAATATTTTAATTTTATATAATCAGAACGAATATCCACTGTATCTTGTAGCCGGTCATCATTACCATCCCTATATTTGACAGCACTTCAGTGCGTAAAAAGGTATAACAAACAAAGCATAAAACGGCAAAACATAGTGCCGCACGACACTAAACAACAGACTCATAGTGAAACGACACAAGAACACACGCTTTAAAAAACACACCTTGGTAAGGTAAAATAAGCAAAACTACACCGTTTCTTCAAAGGTTGACTTCAATCTTCAAATCATCGTTGGTTCTCGCCATTCCTCTTCTACTTCATTCCCAGAGAAAAGATTAATTCTTCAACACTCTTTTGAGGACTCAGCCTTGTGAAATAGGTTAGTTTTTGGCATAAAGCTCCTCCAACGATGCCTTTCAAGAAATGGAAGGTCAATGTAAAAATAATGACAGAGAATCTGAAACTCTATAACTTTATAAAACGGGATTTTCATAAATATATATATATATATATATAAGTTTATAAAACAGACTGTGTTACACTGAGTTGGGTCTATAGAACTAAACAAGCTCAAGGTACTTATATCTGACTGTTTGCAACACTTGCATGTCTGCTTGATACGACCATGTAACTATTGCTTTATGAGGAAGTGTGAGGTGAATTTTACTACAAGTTATATTTAGAAACTGAAAAGTGATACATTCTATTTCTACATTGCCATCAATGCTTACGTGGCTGGCACATTGGTGCAACCTGTTGTGATAATGCCTTGCTTTTTGTTGCAAGTGGAATTTGTCTTTCCTGGCATTAATGCTACATTCCCACACCACATATGAGCTACTCTTTATTCTGCCATATCTTTCTTCTTCTTTTTCTGAAATGTTGGGCCAAATTCAATTTATAAAATGACGGAGCTAGCCTCAACTTTCTCTATCTCCTGAATTGCACGAGAATGCATAAATTAGGTGCCCTGGAGTTCAAAGCGACAGCCATTGAGAAATGTCAGAGCTACTTACAAGGAGAATAGGTGTGCATACTGTGAGAGAAAGAGAGAAGGAAAAACCTGGTAGCTTGACAATATTACAACTGTTATAATAAAATACCCTGGATTAGGCATGTTAGGCTTCTGTTAAACTGTTAGATAACAACTCAAAATCCAGGGAGGGGCCTGTTTTACTTCAAAACCATAACTTACGGTGCTCAATGATTGCCTTCCGTGGGGCCTGTGGCAACTGTGGTGTCCTTCATCAAAATGCAAGAAGACAATTAATCATTTTGGACACTTTCTTAATATTCCTTGCAAGTTGGTAGATGCTTTGAAGCTTACATATGTATCCTGACTGAGTAAATGCCCGTAAAGCCAAGACTATCCTCTACTGCATAAACAAAATCTATATGATACAAGGGCATGTAAAACATTTCCCAATGCAATTTCTTAGAATTTTCTCAGAGCATGTTTTGGTTCACAAGTCAAACCAGGTTCCCTACTTCAACTTATCTTCAACCCTTCAACTAATTCATTTAATTCACAGAATGGCATTGCTCTGACCGAAGAGGGAAAACTTTAAGCAAATACAGCGGATCAATGGAAAAGTTTCACTGGGATAAACTCCATGAACCTTTAAGTCTTTTTCTTTTTCTGGTCCTTTTCTTATCGTATCAGCTGCCATCTTCAGCATACACTCTTCCCGACAAGTATTTCGTCAATTGTGGATCAAAAAACAACATAAACGTCACTTCTCGGACCTTTGTTGGTGACCTGAATTCCGATTCCGTCTCCTTTACCAAAAAGAGCAGCTCTGTCAGAGACAACAGTCAGGCATCAGGAACACCATCTCTGTATCAAACTGCAAGAATTTTCTGGCAGCGGTCTTCGTATGAGTTTGAAATCAATACTAATGGTACTTATCTGGTACGCCTTCATTTCTTCAATTCATCGGGTCTCCCAGCAGCTGTTTTTGATGTTTTAGCTTCTGGTTTTATACTCTTGCATAATTTCACAGTCCAAAATAGTAGCAGCTTTCCTCTAATAGAGGAATTCATTTTAAGCATTCCTATCGGTAAATTCTTCATCTACTTTGTTCCTCAAGGATCTTCTTTTGCATTCGTCAATGCCATAGAAGTCTTTCCTGCCCCTCCAAATTTCATATATGATAAGGCTCCACAGATTAGTCAAGGAAGTAGTAGTAATGAGTACAACGGTATACTCTCTCGCGCTTTGAAGACAATTCACAGAATAAATGTTGGAGGCCAAACCCTTACACCAGAAAATGACACTTTATTCAGAACATGGCTTCCTGATGATAATTATCTGTATAATCCAGACACTGCAAAGAATAGCCAGTTTTACGTAGGTAGACCTAATTATATAGATCTTGTTAATGAATTTATTGCCCCAGACCTAGTATACAAGACTGCCAAAGAGATGAATATAAATACCAGTAGGCCATCAAATAACTTCAATATAACCTGGTCCTATGATGTGACTGGAAATGCTAAGAACTTGATTCGGGTTCACTTCTGTGACATTGTTAGTCAATCGCAGAATGGTTTACGATTTTTTCTTTATATAAATAGCAACCTCGTACAGATAATCAACCCTTATGAAACAGTGAGGTTATTGGCAACTCCATTTTTCATTGACTTTGTGGTTGATTCTGATGATTCGGGACTCATGAACATCTCCATAGGCCCTGATACTAGTTTGACACAGAGTCGAACAGCCTTCCTAAACGGGGTTGAGATAATGGAAATGATGCGCGAAACTGATTTGGTTCCCATAACAAATGAGTCCAACCAGAAGCCTATCTTTATAATTGTTGGTTCAGTTCTTGGAGGTCTAGTTCTTGTCTGCATCTTGGGTGGTGTGCTGTTTATGGTTTTGAAACGCAGGAAGCCAAAAGCTGTTGAAACTTCAAATTGGACACCATTAAATGCATATAGAGGAAGCACTCACGGTGATGGGAAGATGCCTCAATTGTCAACACTAAGCACAGAGGGAACCGTCATTGCTTCCCCTGTTCCTAACTTGAACCTGGGTTTAAAGATACCATTTGTTGAGATTCAGTTAGCAACGAACAACTTTGATAAGAAGTTGCAGGTTGGCAAGGGTGGATTTGGTAATGTGTATCGAGGAACTCTCAGAGATGGCGTGAAAGTGGCTGTGAAACGAAGCAAGCCAGGGTCAGGTCAAGGCCTGCCAGAATTCCAAACGGAGATCATGGTTTTATCAAAAATTCGCCATCGCCATCTTGTTTCCTTGATTGGATATTGTGATGAAGGGTTAGAGATGATACTGGTTTATGAATTCATGGAGAAAGGAACTTTGAGGGATCATCTATATAACTCAAAACTACCTTTTTTGTCATGGAAGCAAAGGCTTGAAATTTGCATTGGTGCAGCAAGAGGTCTTCATTACCTCCACAAAGGTGCATCTGGTGGCATCATTCACCGTGATGTTAAGTCCACAAATATCTTGCTTGATGAGAACCTTGTAGCCAAAGTAGCTGACTTCGGCCTTTCAAAATCAGGTCCTCCAGGTCAAACCCATGTCAGCACAGTTGTCAAGGGAACTTTTGGTTATCTTGATCCTGAGTACTTTAGGACACAACAGCTGACAGAAAAAAGTGATGTTTATTCTTTCGGTGTGGTTCTTCTTGAGGTGATATGTGCAAGGCCGGCTATCAATCCTACCCTTCCAGGAGAGCAAGTGAACCTAGCTGAATGGGCAATGTTTTGCAAGCAGAAAGGATTGCTTGAGCAGATTGTGGATCCATCCATAAAAGTTCAGATCAATCCCAACTCATTAAAAAAATTTGCAGAGATAGCAGAGAAATGTTTGCGAGAAGATGGCGATGATAGGCCTACCATGGGTGATGTGGTATGGGACTTGGAGTATGCATTACAGCTTCAGCAAACAGCAGTTGCACAAGAGCCACATGAGGACAGCACGTCCAATGCTTCCAGTATATTACCATTTCCCATTCTCCAGCGTTTTCCTTCCATGAGTGCAGGACTCGGGAGAGATGATATGTCCATTACAATGGAGGATGACTCTGACTCTGTCCCATCAGCAAGTGAAGTTTTCTCCCAATTGAAAATCAATGATGCCAGATAAATCATTCGGTTCACAAGGCATAATTTCCCAGTTTGATGTTCTTTGGTCTATGTATGTTTCATATTTGAGATTAAATAGGCACTGCTTTCTTACAATAGAGATCTCTATTACAATGTTTGAACTTCAAGATGTATAATATAAAGGCATTTTCCAAGATCATATCTTTGCCAGACCACCAGCTAGTTAAATTGTACTATGAGAGATTATTTCTAAGATTACTTTATCAGGAAATAAAAGGTTATTTAAAGAAATTATTTCCATGATTCATTGAAGTGCTTCTGCCTGGTATTCAAACATGCACAAAATATTTAGAATCTTCCAGGTTGACATGGTCTAGAAGGCTAATGAACCGTTTTTACAAATTTAGAAAAATGTTTTTTTTTTCCTGATAAAACAGTTAACTTGTATTTAAACACTAATTTTTTGGGCTTTGGGGAGAACTGTGAAGGCTCTGTTAGGGTGGGAGAAAACTGGGGAAGCTATGGACTAAATCCTGGTTAAGATCCCCTGCAAACATCCATCAGCCTTCTTCTGGGGAATGAACCCAGTAATCGTAAACCAATAATTAGTCAAAACAGGGGTCTTGATGCACGGCTTTTATCCTGCTGACTCCATTGAAGACCTGATATATTTTGTAGCACCAAACTGATAAGAGAATGTCAAAAGTCCATTTCCTTCTTCATATACCACGCACGCATGTCACCAAACACCGGCAACATTATTTGTTCCAAATTTATAGAAAAAATAAGAAAGACAGGGTATACTTCAATTTGCGAGGTAAACAATAAAGCGAAAGATATGAAAATGTATTTACAACTCATAAATTGCTATATGATTTGGTAAACTTTTTCTTTGACATAAAAAATACATCTCTTCCAAGCCGTAACAATTTCTTTGAGACATTTGCTGTTGTATTTTTCTTTCTTTTTTCGCATCCGCAGCTGATAACTATACCACGCAGAATGAACAAATTCCCTATAAAGTTTTGTGAACCCAACAGAATGTATTTACATGATTGCTAGCAACAGAACTTAAATATGTACCACACCCCTGATCGATTACAAACTAGAAAACCAAAAAAATTAAAAAAAAAGAAAAAGAAAAGAACAATATGAATCCGAAGGAGAGATTACTAATGACCAGCGCCTTTCCTACTAGGTCCCGAAGCCATAGTCCTCACTTGCTGATCTGCTAAAACCCGACCGCTTCGATCTTGAGCAGAATTTGAAGTTGAACTAATCCTAACATCTTTAACCATGGGAACGGCTTCCCTGTTTTCATCTGATCCAATCTTGTTTGTTGATTGAAGAGTCCTACAACAATCAACAGGAGCTGACTCTGAAAGAACCAGCATGGCCAATACCACCAGAACGGGACAGAAATGTCTCATTGCTAATGTTGTTGTGATCTATGGTCGTAAGTGGTAAACGTCTTTGTATAATAAAGATTTTCAAGGCTTTCAAAATATTCTGTCAATAAAGCGAGGAGCCAAAAAGAATGGTTAAGCATCTCCAGTGAATGAGGTACCGCCCCCTTGATAACAAGGGGTGGTTTGTGTGGCAAAGGAAAGGACGGTTTGTGGCTTTTTGGAGTGGTTCCATCAAGGGAAGTATTTGACTGAACACCCTTTTGTGTTCGTAAGCAGGCGCTGAGTTTGAAAGCTAAAATAGTTTTACATTTACATTTTGTCTTTGTCAGAACTCTTTGACTTTGCACTTTACAGCTAGTTGGCCAATTCTGGAAAAACCCTGGTAGATCGTACCATACTGATTTCCTAGTACAAATTAAACAGCCCAAGGTAAATTGTTCTTTCCTTTTCTCCTTTTTGGCCTTTAATACAGTTAAACATAAGATAAAAATAAAAAATCTGGGTGAATTACTTCATAACCATACTACTTAAATATCAATTTTTATTACTTACTAAGATTTAAACGGTTTTTCAACCCTTCCCACAAGGAGAAAAGGATTAACACACTGTATGGTTCAAACATACAAAATGGAAAAGGAATCGAGATAGGAGATATCAAATGGGAGGTGGAAACAAGGAACAAAAGTACATAAAATTTGATATTCTAGATGCCTTTTCATTGGTAGGGGAAAGAAAGTGAAACCATAAACCAATGGAAAAGAACCATTTTTTTTTAGTTTGACAGGGTTTATGCTCCAAACTTGGAGGTGTGTGTCCATGTAATTCCCAAGCAGCTGTTCTTAAATCCTTCCACTCTTTTTTTTTTTTTTTTCTTTTTCACTTTCCTACTGTTTTCAACATCGTAACTACGAAGCGACGGTGCCAAACAAGGTCAAGATATGGGGAAAAGTCCCAAGTTGAATACATATATTTTTCTAGGGAAAGAGCCACTCAATGTGGGGAATCTCGTAATCCTTTTGTGAATAAAAAGGAAACAAAAGAAAACTTAAAATATTCTTCCTCCAGGATTGGAGGGTCGGAGGGAGTTTCGGTTTCTAGCAGAATCCATGGTCTGCCTAAAAGAATGAATTTAACGGTACGTATAAAAATAATTAAAGAGATGCGAGACACTCATGCAATGTATGGTTATTAATTACTAGAACATCAAATTAAAAAATATAAAAATTGACTTAAAAGTGTGTATCAATATTATTGTTTTTTAAAATTTTATTCGTCTTCACTTGCAGTGTACAAAAGAGTTACTAACGTCTAAACTTCAAATATATAATGAAACTTAATAATTGACGGTATTTTACATAAACAAAATCAATTCACTAAGCATTTACTGAAATATGATAAGATTATCAAATTTGTATAATATTTTTCTACAACAACATAATATAGAACAAAACTTAAAGAATATTTGAGAAAGGAAGAAAAAATGTTATTTTTTTCATTGTATTTGTAATTTTTTAAACAATTACATCTGCCTATTTTAAATAAAAAAAAACTCTTTGTTTTTTTTAACAGACACTACTCTTTTTTCATTTATTTTATTTTTAACTGATATAATGTTTTCAATACAATTTTACCAATAAACATTTTATTTGAAAATGTTCCAACATTATTTGCGTACTAGACTTGTTGGATTCTTAGTTCTTTCTTAATTTGGTTACCTTCACAGCCATGATTCCTCTTTCAACTCTCCAATGAGATACCTCAACTTTCAATCAAACATCTTAAATATTAATTTGAAAGTTTAAAATTCAAATTCTAAAATGAACGTGTAGATAAAATTTATAAAATAAAAAGAATTGATTATATTAGTTTTACTAAAAGAATTTCTTAATTCTAATAGTATTAGTAATTTATAAATTAATATTACAAAATTTCAATTATATATAATTGAAACATTAATTTTCGTCTTGTATATAATTGTCTTTTATTTATAGACAATCATAACTTTATACTTTAAAAATATTTTTATATTATATTTAATATTTCTTTAAAAATAAATAAAAAACAAATATACATGTGTAGTAATTATATATACCAAACAATAATGATGTTAGGGATTTAAAAACCGAAAAAATAAAGAAAAATATGCAATATGAGTGTCACTAAATTTGGCTCCATGAAAATGATTGTATCGTTGGCAAACTGCAAGTGTGAGATTGTCATGCTTGTTGTTGATAAAGAGATACTCTTAGAAACTGAAGAGACTCGGCCTTAGAAAGAAGGAGGTGTAATGCCTGTGCCCCATAATGAAAAGAAATGGGGATAATGGATCCCTCTATCGAAGGCCACACTTCATTAAGAATTCAGCCATGGCCAAGCCATTAACAAGCATTGAAACTCGCACTGTGGATATACATTCATAAATCCAGCTTCGCCATTTCACACCGAAACCCATGAGTTCAATGACTCGTAAAAGAAAAGCCCAATTCACACAATCAAAAGCTTTCTCAAAGTCAAGTTTAAAGACTATGCCACTTCTATTCTGCATGCCGATTTTCATGCTGTGAATTATCTCATTGACCAACATGATGTTGTCTGTGATTTGTCGACCTCGTATAAAAGCTGTCTGGTTGTCACCGATGACTTTGTAGATCACTTGCGTGAGTCTGTTTGCTAGAAGCTTGACCAAAATCTTAAATAGTAAATTCACAAGACTAATAGGCCTGTAATCTTTAAGAGAAGTGGGGCTGGAAACTTTTGGAATGAGGGCGATGAAAGAGGAATTGATTCCATTCTCAAGTGACTTAGTGCTCATGAAATCCAAGATAAAGTCAAACTTGTCTCTTATCTATTACTGGCTTTACAGGTTGTACCTAGTTGCATGAATGAAGTGGTTGTCATGCACGGGGGCAGGAGGTCTCATAAAAGGTTTAAGAAAGGCAGAGATCATCTGCATGTGAGATTGAGTGGGAAACCAATCAACGGAGCAGCATCTAGCAATTTGATGGAATCGAAAATGCCCTGTTGAAGCTTATGGATGAGCTAGGGAATCCGTCACCATTCTGTCCGAAGTCATACCCTCTTGTCAGGACTGAGTGGTTATAATAAAGTGCAGCTTGTAAATTATCCTGGTGATGAGGTGCCACTACTGGTAGAAATTGCACTTCCGATGTTGAAGAATGGAATTTAGAAGGTCTTATTTCTTTCAGGTTGATTGTTGTGTAACAACAGAAAAGCAAATGGTAGATTTCATTCTCTTTACTACAGCATTTGATGGAGTTCAATTTTAGAATTTGACTTGAATATAACTCAGTCTTGTGCTTAGTGTAATTGTAAATATTGTAGCTTAACTAAAATGATGTATCCTTATAGCGAGATCAATCTATTAAATTATCATTAAAATTTTATGCTATATGGGGTATATGAGGAGATCAATTCTGGCATATGTATTTAAAAACATCTCAACAGAAATAGCAAGTCTTTTCATTTTACAATTTTGTAGATTTTACAGTAATATTTGCTAATGTCATGTAATACTTCTTCATAATGTGTGCTACTCACGGTGACATACAAGTTGAAAAGAGAAGAGAGTAAGCATTTTCCCATCAATCATTTCATTTCCTTGTGCTGAATCATAGTAATATTTATATGTTACTGCTGAAAGGTTTGCCACTGATTTCACTGATAAATTTGTCAATGTTCTGATTCGAAGAACCACCATCTTCCAATGCTTTCTTTGCAGCCTCTTTCAACTCCACTGCCCTTGCCTTCATCTCCTCTGATCTTGGTCCATCAATAATCTCCATAATGCACCTTTCAACCTCTTTTACGCTTAGTGTCCCATCTTCACAATTTCTCATCCTCACCCCCATCTTGAAAACGTCAACCAAGAGCTTGGCATCCGTTGGCTGATCCGTCCACTCTGGATAGGCAACAACAGGCACGCCAGCCACCACGGTTTCCAGGGTCGAGTTCCACCCACAATGTGTCACAAAACAAGCCAGAGCTTTGTGCATTAACACTTTCTCTTGAGGGCACCATGAAACAACTAGACCTAATTTCTCCTTGGTCTCTTCAAAAAATCCAGGTGGGAATTCAGTTTTTCTCGCCTCTGAACCTTTAACAACCCAGAGATACGGCCTGCTGACATTCTTCAATGCCATGGCAATGCTTTCAATTTGCTGCACTGATAACATAATGATGCTTCCAAACGAAATGTAAATGACTGAGGCAGGCGATTGCTTGTCAAGCCATTCAATGCAAGAATCTTCAGCACACCACATATCAACACTTCCAACAACAGTTTCTTCCTTTCCTAGAAGAAATGGTGACACCAGTGGACCAATGGGATAGAACGGTTTCACTGAAGCTAAGGAGTTCACTATCTCCTCTTCCAGCTCATGAACCGAATTTCCTAAAACCCATTTTACCTTATCTAAAACTGAAACGAATTCTACAACCCATAGCTGAAAGTGAGCAGGACTAAAAGGAAGCATAAAAGTTGGAAGATCTCCCACCGTAAACCCTGGCATTCCAGGCAACTCTACACTCCCATTAGGGTTTTCCAAGTTGGGAAACAAGTCTGGACGCTTAATACAATGACAATAAATGGAGAAAACGGTTGAAGATTGGATCCAAAGAATGCTACAAGGAATCCCATGTTCAGCAGAAACAGCTGGTACCCATGGGATAAAGGGGCTGGAAATGAGGCATGAGAATTTATTACCATTAGCTTTGAGATCAGCAATGAGATTTGAGAGATTCCGGGGTCCGTGTGTCTTAAGTGAAGCCATGAACGTGCCAGTATCCTTGTCACGATCAAAGTCATGGCTAAGACCATCGGAGAAGAACTCTAGATTGAGTCCAGGGCTATTGGAGGTACTGGAGGAGTTTTTGGTGCTGGTGAACTTGGTGGAGATTTTGGAGTCTAGCATCCGCTTACGGGCAACATCATTGGTGGCAAGGGTTACATGTACGCCCTTTGTTACGAGCACTTTGGCCAGCTTGAGCATGGGATTCATGTGCCCTTGCAAGGCTAAGGTCACCATTATCACTTGTACTCCTTCAATCTCCATTGCTTTCCAAATTGCAAGGTTGAGGCCAAAATTATTTTATTCAGGGGGCAAGGAGGTGAGATCATTGTTGATTAGTGTGGCCCTAATTTATATGCAAATGCATATTTTAGCAAGTTTTTATATTTGTCATGCATATCTCCTTTCTATGGCAGGGCAGATTGTATTAGTGATATATTGCCATTGATGAGAATTTGATAGAGTGTTTGTCCCTTTTTTTTTAATTATTTGAAGAATTAGATACTGATTTTTACTTTATAAATTTTAATTTTTAATTTGAGCAATTTTTATCAATCTTTTCTAATAAAAATTCATGAAACTTGCCTTAGAGCACTACGTACCTTATAAAGTTTTATTTGATGTTAATGTTCCTAATTTGCAAAGAATTAATTATCCCTAATTAATTTTGTTGTATGTGCAATACGTGAGAATTAGTTTTTCTTGTATGGTAATGAATCTGTGTATATCTGAAAAATCCAAGATATTAACAGCAGATGATATCCTTCCAGTTAAGCCAATGAAAGTAAATCTCTTACTTTTCTTGGGGAGATTAACACATGACAAGTGACAAATTAAAATACTTAAATTATGTATTAATAGAAAATTTTTACTTACCAGTGCAAAAATTAATTATTTAAATCATTTAATAACTGTTTGAATGAGTGTCACTCAACTATTTATTTTCTTTTTATACATGTGATTTTGGATTACATAATAAACTTCTCCATCTCATAAAATTTTTTTTTTGAGAGTTGCAAGCTTTAGAAGAAGTGTTACTTAAAGATTTTCTTTTAACATCAAGTTAAATGATTTAGATGCTTTTAATATCTCACTTTAAGATCCTTATAGTAATTAATTAATCCAACAAACATGAAAGAACCTATCCAATAATCTAATTATATTGACACGAAACAAGAATCAAAAGGTAGCAACACACCAAGTAAGATGAAAAAATCAAAGACTCAACCTATAGTAGTTTTATTCATATATATATATATATATAATTAGGGAAAAGAGAATTTGAATCTTATTTTTTAAGTAAGGGATCATATACCAATCAATAAATCAAAAGTTTGAATTCAACTCATTTTATAGTAGTTGTTGTTCCTCTCTTTTAAGAGGTTTGGGCAAAAAATTTGAATTCCCTCTCCTATTTAGACTTCTTTATACATACCAAAACTAATTGCAAGATTAAGCACTAAGAAGCTTTGAGAGCATTTATCATATGAAAAGTAACATGTTTGAATTAGATCGTAAAGGGGAATATTTTATTATATATTGCATTCCTAATTTGGAAAAAGAAATGATAATGAATTAAAGCAATGATTGAAAAAAGTTAAAAGTGAAAAATAAATACATTTTGTAGCTTAGGTACACATTAATTTCATTGAGTTTTATCTTATAATAGAATAACATTTTAGATGTACCCAAAAAATATAATAGCATGACCTGTTAGTAGTCGTAGATTTGTAGGTATTATGCTTATTATTTAATATTTTCAATTCGAAGTCATCAATCAACTATCAAAATTCAAGGGGCTGCTTTATAGTATAAATTAGCATGCCATGTGACTCAAACGTAAACACCAAGGCGGCACAGGGAGAGTACATAAATCATTTTGACTTAATCTGATTTAAAACTATATATATATATATATATATATCATATATATGACTTAAAAAACAATTTTTCCAGAAGAGTACTCTATAAACACACCAAAGTGTTTGCACTAATTCTAATCGTCAAACATAGATTTGACTAACTGACCAGTCAAAGCTTTATTTTCCCTTGAGTTAACGTCTCCCCTGTAATCAATTCCTCAAGGCCTCGAAAATTCAAAGATATGTGCACGGTCTTTGGTCCCCCAGTGGAGCTGCCAATGCAAAAGAAATACTTCCTCGGCGACTCAGGCCGTCAGGCGGCCAGGGAAAGCTAAGAATCAACACTTGTATAGCTTCTTTTACCTTGTAATTCCATGACGTCCACTTCCAGCTTAGACTCGCAATCTCCAATTTTTGTTTGATTTTTCCAGGCTTTGTTCAATTTCTCTTTTCTTTAATCCCAGAAACTTCCCCAGTTGTTTCCTCAGCAGGAACCACGTTTTCTTTTGAAAATCTAGGAGGTTGGAAAAATGAAGTATCTCCCAAGCAATTACCCTAGTCAAAAATACCTACCGCTAATTTCCTCACCAATGCCATCATTTTTTTTTTTTGAAAGTCTCACCAACGCTATAAATAGCGCATCAGATTCTCATTGTCCATACCCAATAATCACATAAACGTGCTTCGCTTTGCTCTGAAATCCTATTACAGCATTCCTCACCTTCACTTCCCTCTGTTTCAATTATCCAACTCTAGGAAATAAAATCATTACCAACAGAAACTCTTTCTTTTTCTCACTTTCCAAAATGACGACTACGACAAAATCCTTTTTAAGCTTCTCTTCTCTTCTTTTACTGCTGAGTTCCATTCTCATTGAGACTGAAGCTCGTGACCCCTTCAATATCCTGATGTCCCAGAACTTTGCCGGCGGAAAGGTCCCTGATTTCTTTGATATTGGCTTATACCTTGGAGCCATCAAAGAGTCAGGTCCAAGTCCTGGCGGGGGACACAAGTTCACTGATAGTCAGACCGTAGGAGGCATTAAGAACTCGGGTCCAAGCTCTGGTGGTGAGGGACACAAGTTTACCAACAGCTTGCCTCTTGGAGGTATAAAGGACTCCGGTCCGAGTCCTGGTGAGGGACACAAGTTTACCGACAGCTTGCCTCTTGGAGGTATAAAGGACTCCGGTCCGAGTCCTGGTGAGGGACACAAGTTAATCGATAGCTCGACTCTTGGAGGTATAAAGGACTCCGGGCCAAGTCCTGGTCAGGGACACATGTTAATCGACAGCTCGACTCTTGGAGGTATCAAGGACTCCGGGCCGAGCCCTGGGGTAGGAAACAAGTTAACCGATAGCTTCACTCTAGGAGGCATTAAGGACTCTGGTCCAAGTCCCGGTGTGGGAAATAAGTTCACTGACAGCTCTAATCTCGGAGGCATTAAGGATTCAGGCCCGAGTCCTGGTGTGGGAAACAAGTTAACTGACAGCCAAACCCTTGGAGGCATCAAGGACTCTGGTCCAAGCCCTGGTGTGGGAAATAAATTAACAGACAACCAGACTAATGGCGACATGAAGGACTCTGGTCCGAGCCCTGGACAAGGAAACTAGTTCATTGACAGTCAAATAATAAAGGTAAAAAAGTTTCCGGTCCGAGGCTTGGTATGAGAAACAAGTAGACATTTCGGCAACACCAGCAATACAAGCTGGTTTCAGCAACAAGAAGATTTAGTTTATACTATATACGAGCTCATTCTTTTAGTTCATTATTTATTTTGTTGTTTATCTAAGAAGTGGCACAGCTGTTTTCAGTACTTCGTTGGTGCTCAAAGATAATGTATCCAAATCTTTTTCAGCAGTTGTAATAAGAGATTCTTTGTTCATGTCATTCTTTTCTAGGAATCTATGTGTAATTAATTAATTAATTAATTAATTAACTTGTCACGCAGTCAAAGTCTTTTATCATCTTCACCTGTGATCAATCAATTTTTTTTTTTACTAGCCAAGAAGTTTCCTCCAACTCCCAAAGAACAAACAAAATTGAAAGTTCACATAAATAAAATACTGGTAGTTAACCTCCAAGGGAAAAAGGGGATTAAATATTGTATATTAATTTTTCAACTTTTTCAATAGTAAAATCATTTTTAAAAATAGTTGTGACTATTTATAAATTTTAACTTTTATTTTGGATGAGTTGCAGCCAAATCTTTTCCTCATTGAAAGGAATTACTCATACAAGTAATAAACTGAAATTCTACTGGTTACTTGAATCTTTAGTTCCATAAATCAGAGATAGTTCATACCATAAAGAAAAAGAGTTATGGAGTGTAATATATCTTTAAGTATCAAAGTAATATAAGCAAACTAGGAAAGGCGGCCTTGTTGATTTTCAACAACTTTTTTGCCATTTGAAGATCCAGCATATTATATTCAGCTACTCAAGTCCACATTAAGGAGCTCTTTTTCTTTTCCTTTTTTTTTTCAAACTTCAAACTTTTTGAATTTTCGTTTAAGGATTTATACTTTTTGAAATTCTGATAATTGAGTAATATAGAAAAATGCATATTAAATTAGAAAACATTGATTATCTGATATTATATAGGAATAAATACCAAAAAATTCACAAATTATATCATTATATTTACTTGAACATATTATAACAGTACTGTTGACATGATCGGCAGTAGGAAACCAAAATGAAGAAAAATAGAAAGAAAGAAAAATTAGACAAGCATGAGGAAACATGCATAATGTCAAAAAGAATGTTGACTTGCAAAGATTTGATGGCCGGAGAGTGTGAAGTCAAATAACTTATGCGCATTGATAACTCTCTGCACGTATTCGGTACTATAAAAATAGATTGCACATGCACGCTATTTAGAGCAAGTTTTACCTAGTTTGAAACGTTACCCTCTCACAGTCTTTTGGTACCAATTTTCCTTTCCTCTTTGGAAAAAGGCGCTCATAAGCCCCATGGAAATCAATGCAACATCAACGCTAGAAATAGTATAGGAAATTTTAGTTGGAATAAATAGATCTTGTATGACCAAGTTCACCGACCTTGGAATTGTGGTCGGCCAGTAAACCGTCCCTCGTTTTTCCTTTCATGCATCAATATGAATTAGAGGTTAAATTGTATTGGTGTGTATGTGTGTGTATATATATATATATATATATATATATAATTTTTTGTATATATATTTCAATAACTATCTAAATTATTTAAAGAAGCTTTGTTGATTAATTTAACAGCAAAAAAATAATCTTCCATTCTTGAGTTTTCAAATTTAAGTCTCGATTGTAAGTGATCTAATAAATAATTTTCTATGCTTCTATGTGTAATTCATGAAGTTGTTATGCAACCAGAGTCTTTTATCATTTTCGTGCTTTGCCCTACAATCAATCAGTTCAAAGAAAGATAACGATGGTATTTAATCTCCATTGAAAGAAAAAATAAATAAATAAAGGCTGTATTTTGATTTTCAACTCTTTCAAAAGTTAAATTGCTTTAAGAGAAAAAATTATGGCTAATTACAAAGTGATATATGTATATATATGTGTATATGTATGCATAATTAAATACTTAATTTATCATTTTTCTTTAACCTTTAATAAATTCCCACAAATTACACATTGATAGTTCTATAGGGCCCATCATAAATAGATAAAGGAATTGGCCCAAGCCTGGTTGACGGACACGAAGTCTTCCAAGCACCGGGGCTTGGGCCACTGACATTTTCTACCTCTCTCCTTTTTTAACTATATTTAAAAAAAAGAATATTAAAGTAATTTTTAAATTAATTTTCCTAACAACTTAACGAGTGCTCCAAAGATATTGTTAAAATTATATTTTCTTTTAAACCATTGAAAATTTATCACATTCACATTCTTTTTAATATATAAGCAAGTTTCAAAGCAGGCGAGGGATTCTTAGTCATTCTTTTAAAACAAAGGGCAACAGTTATTTGATTGAGGCTCTTTTTCATTATTTTTAGTTGTTTGGAATTCTAAAAGTATTTTACTTCTTCTAAAAATATTTATAAGACGTAAAATATTTTTAAATTAATAAAAAATATTATAATTAAAAGAAAAATATCGTAAGTCTGTAAAATATATAAACTCATTTTTCATTCCCTTTTTTTTTACCGCCTTTCCTTTTTTTAATCTTGAGATCGATCCATAAAACATTATTGTCTTTTCTTTTTTGAAATCCATCCCATAAAGCATCATATTTTATTCAGTTACTTCTGGAGAAAGTATTATTAACTATTCAACTATTTTCCTTTTCTTCATTTCGTTATTCATTATTATTTTTTCAACAAAACAATATTGACTATTTTTACTCAACTACTTCAAAGGATGATATCATCTATAATTACCTTTCCTAGGATACTATAATTTTTAATATAATTCAAAATAATTAACATCAATTAAATTTTTTTATATATAAAATAAAAAATAAATTTATCACACATGAAATCTCTCATTTTGTTAGAGTTCAAATTTATAATTTACTTACTTAACAAATTAACTAGTAAAATAATACGATAAGAAATATATAAATAAATAAATAAATAAATAAAATAGTACATATAATATTTTTAATATTAAAAAGTTTTTTAAATATTTTACATAATTAATGAATGTTAATAATTTTGTGATGTCATGAAAAGTTATTGAAGATGGGAAAAATTTTTAAAGATGGATGACGATAGAAAATATTTTTTAACAACATAATTAAAATAATAAAAAAATTAATTTTAATAATTTATTTAAATATTAAAAAAAATTAAAATTTTCAATAAAATATGTTATATAAAGAAAGTTTTCCTCAACAAGTTAAGTTTGGATTAGCAAAACTAAATGTTTTCACATTATTAAACTATATTAAGTTAAAATATTTTTATAGTAATAATTTAACAAAATTAGTCCAAATATTAAAGTGCAAAATCCCACCCTGATCTTACACATTTTTCAAGCTTGGGTGGAAAAAATTTTCAAGAAAGAAAAGTAAAAAATCCGGGCGGGAGCAGTAGACTCAAAGCGTAAATCAGAGGGCAGGTGCCAAAACAGCCGCAAATAGTTAAAAGCAGAGCTGCAGCAGGAACAGATCAGCTGTTTCCCTCTCTTTTCTGTCAGCGGGAAAAATCAGAAAGCTAAATAAAAAAATATGGGAAGTTCGTCGAAGGAGGAGACGGCAACCGACGCCGATACGTCGAGCGGCGACACTCCTCCCTCCAATTCCAACCTCTTCTCCGAGGGCGAACGTGTTCTCGCCTATCACGGCCCTCGTATCTACGAAGCTAAGGCACAGTCTCTCTCTCTCTTTCCCTCGTCCTTTTTCTCTTTCCACATTTTACCTAATTTCTTTGTCCTTCTCTGTTTGGCACAGTGTTTGACGTTGCCCCTGCTTTAAACTTAATTCCGTCCTTTCGCTTTCTAAAACAAAAATTATGATATTTATGCCTATTAGATTGCTGATTCATGTAATTCGACGTTGAAGTTAATTGAGCGGTTTCTTTAGCTCACTAGAGCCCATAATTTAAAGCATTTGGGGATTGATTGGTGAAATTAGGGTTTATGCAGTTGGTAATTTTGATTTTACATTTTAGGTTCAAAAAGCAGAGCTTCGGAAGAAGGAATGGAAATACTTTGTTCATTACCTTGTAAGTATACTTGCCTTAATTTTCGCTTATGGTTTTCTTTCTTACCTTTTTTTTTTTTTAAGTTCTATATGATGCTTAATCTAGTTGCCATGCCGATTATGTAGGATAAGATGAACATAATCGTTTATGGTATTAAGAGATATCTCTTTTGCTTTGTTGCAGGGTTGGAATAAAAAGTGAGTATGCCTTGGATAATATGCTCTCTGCTGAACCTAAGTTACCGCCTCATTTTGGCTGTTGAATTAATTTATTATTTGGATTGTTGATCTGCATCTTCAAAATTTTTAGCTTGAACAGTGTCCATGTAAAATTTATTGTAAAGTTACGCCAATGAAAACTTGTTCTTTTAAGCACCGGAACATCCCTTTTTATAATGCTTCCTGTATAAAATTTCAGCAGCATTAGGCAGGCATTCATCAAATTAAATTTGGGATTGCGTCATGTATATGAGCTAAAATATTATATTCAATGGCTTATCATTCTCATTTCCCTTTTGTGTTTGTAAAAAATTATAAACATAAAGAAAAAAGATTGTAAAGTTTGGAGAACCGAAGCAACAACGGCAAGTTCAAAATCAAGACAAATAAGGTTTTATTTTATTTAAACATGTTTATTTTTGTTCTCATGTTTTTTAATGGGTATTAATTCATTTATGTTATTATGAAATCCTGAAAGATAACTCCAGAACTTTATATATTACTAGTAAATGTTTGCTTCATTGATTTATATATCCCCCTTCCAAAAAGGGAAACAGAAATCATTACTATGGCTTGGACATCTTGCCAACAGTTGGGACGAATGGGTAGGTGCTGACCGGCTGATGAAACATACTGAAGAGAATGTCATAAAGCAGCAAGCACTTGACAAAAAACAGGGTGTTGACAAAAGTTCAAAGTCTGGACGTTCTGCTCAGACCAAGCCAAAAAGCTCTGCTGGTTAGCTTAACTCTTTTGACTTATTGGCTTGTTTATTAATGTACTTTTGTTCATTTTCTGTGTGCATATATGTGGATGTTTAAACGGATGGGTGCCCATTAAGAGATCCTTTGTTTGTTTTCTGGGTTAAGTGGAAGCATTCTCCCTGGATTAGTCTATGGGTGCTGCGATTATCTTCATCTAGATTCTGTTTTTGTTCCTCAATAGATAAGGCCTTTTAAGTTTTCCTGTGCCTTATTTTGGGCAAGTGCCATGTTTTGATCAAGTTTATTGTTGTCACTATTGTTTATTCCGCAGTTAATACCCTATTTTCTTTGCTTTTATTTTTTTAGATGCAAAAGCGGATAAAGAGGACCTGAAGAACACTGGTAAGCTTATTTTACATTTTTTTTTCTTTTTGTATTCTCCTGTCTTTGTAATTGATTTTCTTTCATTTATGGAGTAACTCTTCTTTATCATCAGTATATATTCTAAGGGGTCCTATCAAAGATTTTCTTGATTTTGATATTCTCGCATGATTTGAGTTCCTGTACTGGGTTTAGTTTCTGCTTTCAGTTAATGTAGTTGGGTAGAGGTTGTATTGAACTTTCAGCAAATTCTAATGAAGTTATGTGTGGCATTTTAGTTCTGCAGTGTCTGAAGTTATGAGTTGTATTTGCATCCTATGGAGATTGAATGGACATGTGGTTGCAATAGCATCTATTAATTGATATTCTTCCTTCTTAACATATTGAGATTGATGTTTAATTGTCAGAGTACTGCCAAAAGGAGAAAAAAAGAATCCTTGTAGGCTATTACAGTTGCATTAATTGTCACATTCATTATATCAAATATTTTGCATTCATATGACATACATAAATGGAGTCAACCATTCATTCCTAATGGTCTGCTTCAACATTCCCTTAGTTCATTTTGCCAATTGTCAACCTTTTCTTAAGTAAAATTGTGACTGCTTGCAAAGACATTAACCTTTTCTTATGGTGGGTGATTTTTTATATTTATTGCAGTGGCAAAAGGGAAGAAGAGAAAGAGTGACTCAGGTGTTGAGGTCTGGTTTGTATATGATTAATTACAGCTCTTGAGAAATTATTTTTCTTTCCTTTTTTCTTATTTCTAGTCTAAATCCCTTGGTTCTTACCCTCTCTTTTTGTTTTTCAACATGTGCTTAATAATTGTTAGAAGGATAATTCGTCCATGGAAAAGCTTGTCAAGATCCAAATTCCATCAACACTAAAGAAGCAGCTGGTTGATGATTGGGAATTTGTTACTCAACAGGATAAGGTGCATGAACTGTTGGAATAACTTTTGGAGTAACTGTTTCGCTTATTATAGTACTTTTTGCTTGATGATTTAACTTGAATTAAAGTATAGAAATGATAATGGCATTGATAATAATGCCTTTATTTATTTGTCAGTCACTACGATGAGGTTTTTGTAGCCTTTACATGAAACTTGTGAAGCAATGTTCTTGTGTACAACTTAAAACTCAACAACACTCATGCAATTCAATCATTTTTATTATATTCTCCAATACCTTTTTGTGGAATATAGTTTGGGCACAATTTAACGATACTTATGGCTGGTACTCTGTAAACTGGCTTGGTGGCAATAATCCATCTTTTCTGCAGCTTGTTAAACTTCCTCGATCACCAAATGTTGATGATATTTTGACAAAGTACCTAGAATACAGGTCCAAGAAGGATGGCACGTAAGTCTACTTTTAAATCCTTTCACACCTGCTTGAAACAATCATGATAAATTTATGCTGTAACTTGTCTTTGAATAATTAATATCCAATTTTCGGAATAATTAATTTGTTCCTAGATATCTCTGTTGTTGCTTTCTACTCCATCTCAATTCTTTGTCCTTATTCTACCCTTCATGGTGACTTCCCATGATATTAATTATATATTCAGATGTTCATATATTTTTGTGTAAAAAATTTATTATGAAAGAAATTTTTGGAGTAAAATCTTGTAAGGTGTAATCTGAAAGAACAATGGATAAGAAAAACAAAATGGTGTTAACGAATTATTCAAAAGACAAAAATCCTCTGTAAATGGATTTAGAAAGAGAAATTTGGGGACAATACTGTTTAAAATTGTGATTAAACTAGCTCGTTGGTACTTATAAAAAGGAGATTCTAAGATTTGCTTACTGTAGAATTGGTGATATAGACTGTTTTTTGTTTTTTTGGATACAGAATGACTGATTCAATTGGAGAAATCTTGAAGGGGATTCGCTGTTACTTCGACAAAGCTTTACCTGTGATGCTTCTGTACAAAAAAGAGCGCCAACAATACCAAGATGTAGTCCTTGATGATGTCTCTCCATCAACTATATATGGTGCTGAGCATTTACTACGCCTCTTTGGTATGGCCATCTGTCAGAGTTAGCACTTTTAAATGCACTAATTTACTTTCATCTTTCATGCAGTGTTGAATATTGTGCTTTAACTAATGTGTTGGATGTAAATCACTTCAGATTTTTCTTTTAGCTTTATTCTTAATTATATAAAAGGAGCATTTTATTGATCTCTAGAAGCCAATACTAAAATCCATGTTAAACCCATTAGAGACACAAGTGACGAATGGAATTGTTTGTAGAATTGGGACGCATCATTCTTGGCTGCGCAGCATCTCAGTTGTTATATCCATATGTTTATACAATCAAGTCCTGTGGGCTTGTTTTGATGACATCACCTGGGGACATGTGTCTACGTGTTTGTGTATCTTAATTTTAATAATCATCCATGATATTGGTACTTCACAAATCTTAGTAGCTCACGATATTAATAATTTGTGTTACTGTCTTTGCAGTTAAGTTTCCTGAGCTTTTGGCATATGTGAATATTGAAGAGGAAACATTAACCCGCTTGCAACAGAAGTTAATGGATTTTCTCAAGTATCAGCTCTCTCCTCATTGATTTTATTTTATACTATTTAGAGAGCATTCAATCTGTTAAACTCTGATTTAAATTCAATGAAGGAGAGATAAAAGTTTGCATCGTTGTCATCACCGTAGCATATAGTTAGAAGTTAGAACATATAATTACAATTTGTGTCTTTTATATATATATATATATATATATATATATA